ACTGGGGCGGCGTTTCTTCCCCTTCCGCCGCAGATATTCCTCGCTTCTCTGAAAAGCAGCGAACAATACGGAGAGAGGTCTAGAGAGAGAGAGGGAGAGGGAGTGAGAGGGGGGACAGGCGATGCGATGAGCAATGAGGACTCTCTCTCCGGTGCAGTGCAACTTTATGTAGTGACCTGCTGGGTGCCCACACAACACAGGCCAAGCCAAGGCTAGGGAATAAAATAGGTTTTATAATACTTTTTTTTGCGATCTACTAGATTTTATAATACTTGGCACAAGGAAAAGCAAAAAAATTGTGGTGGTAATGGAATGGTTCTCATGGTCTCATGGTCTCATGGAGTGATGCAGGGGAGGGGGCATTACCAGAGTTGGTGGTGGGGAAGAAAATATAATTAGTGGATCTTGAAGGTATCTTTGTCTTCTTCCTTTCTGGCCCTGTGCCCAGCTCCAGCAAGTAAATCTTCGGGTGATGGATTAGACGTTGCTGTTAGTGTTAGGGCCGGGGCGATTAAGCTTGATGGTGTGGTTTGATCCTCTGCGCAATTAGGGATAAAGAAAGGTAATTCGTACGTGTTGGATGTGGTGGTAGGGTTTGGGTGTTGGGCAGTGAGCCGTGTCTTTCCTGTGGATGGAGTCCTACAACCATGGCCCTTTTTTCTTGGTCCATTCTGCTGCTCCTAGCGGCTCTTTTCTCGAAAGATTATTTTAGCCATGGGATGGGAGATCAGGTGCTGGCACTGAGCTAGTAGTAGAACACTCCGTTTTGCATGGGCGTGTCTTCGCTTAGCATTGGGTGGGGGGCACAACACATGCATTGGAATGAACAATGTGAAGATGCATGCCCTGATTTGGTGCGAAAGCGGCACGGCCGGTTGGCAAAATTTATGGATCGTGCCCTGTTGCCTGTTTGCTCCACGTTGAGGTGGCAATCAAGGCCCGGCGCAAAAGGTCACGCAAAGCATCCCTTGGCCCAGGGGATAATTGCATCGCCGCTTGTGATTGATTAAGGGATCGGGACCGGTGCTTTTCGTTCTCAAGGTAACATGGGTTTTACAGTAAAAAAAATTACTCGTAGTTTTCACACCGAAATGATGCGGTGTTCAGACCTGACATTAGTACTAGTGCCTGCTTTCAGTTTTTACTAGTAACAGGTTTTTACTGTGAAAGTCGTTTTCACACCGAAAATACTCCCATGTTACGGAACAAGCATTACCTGATTTCGGTTTAAATAAAAACATATTGTTTGGAACTTTTAAACATTTGGGTACGATAATTACTAGCCATTGGAGATGAGACAAATGGTTCCGGAACAGGTAATATCGTATAAAAAAACTGAGGGGCATATCCAATTAATCTTAGCCACCAAATTATGTCAACCCAACGATTTAGATTGCTCCAATGGTGAGTGCAAGTTTAGCATGTAAGTAATATCGTACCAAATATTAACATTTATGCTAATTGTTTACCAATATAAAAAGATCCAAAGGGGCATATCCAATTAATCTTGGCCACTAAACCATGTCAATCCAATGATAGATTGCTCTAATGGAGAGAGCATCAACATGTTTAGCATGCAATTAACATCGTATTAAATATCAATATTTTTGCTAATTACTCCCTCCGTCCTTTAAAGAGTGTACTTCCAACTTTCTTGAAAAGTTAAACTTTTTTATGTTTGACCATATTTCTACAATAATACACCAACATCTATGCCATCAAATTAGTAGCATTAGATTCATGATAAAATATATTTTAATGATATACCAATTTGGTTTCACAAACATTAATACTACCTCCGTCTAGGTGAATAAGTCATTCACGTAGTTCTAGGTCATCGATTTGAGGAATTAAATATGTGTTATATGTCATGAAAAGTAGATCACTATATTTCTACAAGGATGTAGTTTCTAAATATATATATTTTGTCACATATAATACATATTTAAATAGTTAAATCGTCAACCTAAAACTATGCGAATGACTTATTCACTGAGACGGAGGTAGTATATTTGTACACAAACTTTGAGATAGTTAGGCCCTCCAACAAAATTGGAAGTACACTGTTTGAAGGATGGAGGGAGTACTCCCTCTGTTTTTATTTAGTTCGCATATTAGCTTTGGTCAAAGTCAAGCTTTACAAATTTTGACCAAGTTTATAAACAAAAATATTAAGATATACAATAACAAATCAACAACATTAGATTTATTGTTGAATGTACTTTCACGTCGTATAGATTTATTATGATAAATGTCTATATTGTTTTTTACAAACTCGCTCAAACTTTACTAAGTTTGACTTCAGTCAACCCTAATATGCAGAGTAAATAAAAACGGAGGAAGTATATAATTAACACGTAATTGTTATTCCACCTAATATCAACATGTATTTAATTCTCTTGAATATCAACATGTGCATTTACCAGTAGATGTGTTTGCCATTCAACACGGTACCTCATCCGCTCACAGGCAGGTCCGGACGTCCATTTTCCACAAACCATAAGCAATTTTGGGGGTTTTGCGGGAGTCTAGACCATGCCACGCATGCTCTTTCGCGCTTTCTCTCAAACAGACGCACTGCTTCCCGTGTCATATTCATGCAGTAAGGTTGTCGTAGCCCCGCGCCCTTCCGCTGTCGGAAGGACTACGACGATGACGGCGGTGCGGCCATGCACACGAAGTTACCATCCGCTACAAGATAGCCTCCTAGTTTTTTTAGTTTTTAGTTAGACGATTGAAATATCATCCATTTTAGGTAAATTATGACTGAACTATGCTGAATTCCGTTGTATTTGATAAAGTTTGTCCAGTTGAGTTTTGAAATGTATAATGACATGATTGGATGACCGGCTTCTGCATCACTGTCCGCGGACTGGTCCGGACCAGCGTGTGAAAGTATATGGTGTCCGATTTGTTGGTTAGCATTGGAGATGGCTTGAGAAAAGGTTTACCGAAAGAAGAAATATGAAGAAAAAAAATGTACATCGAAATTTGTACTACAGTGGAAATCCATTCTTGTTTTGCCTTGGTCTACATCGGTGGTTGAGTATACTATAATCTACTCCTACATTGACTGCTCTCCGGGAAGTTCAAATTGCAAACACGAAGCTGCTACTCCATCGACCAGAGCATTCGGTTGCCCCACACGGCCACGCGACATTAACTCCTCCGAGCCGCGTGTTCAGCCGGCGCGGAGTGCAACCAGCCCAGAGAGAGACACATTAACACCACGATTAAATTGCTTGCATGATAGTATCTACCTTTGGACACGGGAAGATCGCCTTGTCCTTGCACCGTACCAACCGCAGTTTGTAGTACCAGTACAAGACAGGGCGCCGTTCATTACAACAGGAAGGTACCAGTAGCTCCCCATCGATCTCGATTTTCAAACGTTGCCATCATCGATAATTGTTCAGGCGCCATTCCTTGATCCTATATAACTTAGTAGCTGATCCCATCAATAATACTTCTTCCGTCTAGGTGTATAAGTCATCTTACGAAAACCAAATATTCCCAAAACTTTTAGGCGCGGTGCATTAAATTCTACCTCATTTCTTGTTTCTTAACATATCAACCAATAAGAGATGTGGGGTGTGCATGCTTTTAATGACATGAGACTACCAAACACGACATGCATTGGTTAGTTCATTGCATGCAATGCTATTAATTAGCAAATGGACATTAAGTATTCTCGTTTTCCCCTCCTCCTCGGTCACGGTGCACAACCTAAGATGACTTACTCACCTAGACGGAGGGAGTATTATCGCTTCATTTCAGTTTACAAGTCCTGCGCGTATACCTAGGTTGCCAATTTTATCACCCTAATATAATCTATATAACACAAAAATTATACCGTTTGAAAATAGAACATCTAAAGTTTATATTGGTATATTTTTGGTAATATACGACTTGGATTAGGTTGGTCAAATTGACGACCTAGGGGTACGCGCATGCCCCGTAAACTAAGAGAGAAGGAGTATTTGTCTCAACATGTAATTATGTGACGCAGGAAAAAGTGTTACCTCAACATGCACAATATGGATGTAAAAAGGCTCAAATGGTTTAATTATACTATGCTGCTTATATATTTTATAATTAAATGTATGTTCAGTTTTAGTTCTTATATTATTAATCAAAATATCCATGTTCATATATTTTTCGAGAAAACGCAAAGGACCTTTGCGTTTCTTTGCATTGA